GAGTATCGCTGATTTCTTTTTAACTGCACCACCATGTTCACTCTCTCTCTCTCTCTCTCTCTCTCTCTCTCTCTCTCTCTCTCTCTCTCTCTCTCTCTCTCCTGTTGGACTAAATAGTAAAGCTCTGCTCAAGCACAACATTTCTGTCATCATGTTAAATGTGCTTTTTCTTTGATCACCGTTTCAAACTCAAGGTCCGTGGGCCAAATCTGGCCCTTCTTAACACTTTATCCGGCCCCAAAGGTGAAACTTTAAATGTAAAATATGTTTTTTTCTCCTTTGTCACTAGATTTAATGCAGTTTTCTCATGTTGGCAACTTTGAAAAAAAACAACAACTTTTAAATAATCTTTGTTTTTGTTTTTTGGTGTTGAAAGAGCAACAGGAAGTTGATCTATTTATCTTTGTCTGGATTCTCTTCTTATTTTAAAGTATCCATGACATAATTTTTTGTAATATATATGGATGCATTTTTGGAAAGAAAGCATTGATAACGTATTGTGGAAAAAAATTTTCGCTGTTGAGATGAAGAGCTTTTAAGATATTTGTGTGCGAAGAAACAGGAAGTGATGTCAAAAGGGAATGTCTGCATGTGAACAGAGCGTTGCCATGATGGCCGACAGCACAGAGTGTAGAGAAGAATCTGTTTCTTTAGATTATTTTGAGTTTCTATCAGAAGCTGTGTTTCCATTGACCATGAAAATGCGCAAATCAGAATTTCGAAAATAAATTTGCTCAATGGAAACACGTCAATTTCAAAAAAAAAATAAGTTTTTCGACAAAAATGTTTTTGTGCTAGGATGAGGTGGTTTTTCGGTCGTATTGAAATTGGTGTTTTTCGCAAAACTGCAATAGAAACACTTTTTTCACATCACAGGAGTCACGTGATAACAACCGGCTGTTTCTACTGGTGAAAAATACAAAGAAGAAGATAACAGGAAGTAGAAGTAATAGTAATATCACAGAAGTAGTATAAAATAGTAAACTCACAGACTACAATTTCCCAAAAACACAGCATACGTAGCCGCTCCCAAGTAGGGACTTGTCTCTGGAAAGCCTCGATAAAAGACGCCGACGTCTCCTCTGATGATGAGCGCTAGTGTCGTGGTAGCAACATGCTATGTGTTTACATCCATCGCCACCATGTTTGTAATGACTTATCATGAGAACAAACGTATTCACGTGACTTTAATAACATTTATTACTTAATGGAAACACTGTAGTTGTTTCCATTAGTTGCTGTGTTTTTCGACATTAACAGAATATCGACAAAGTTTTGAGAACATTTGCAATGGAAACACAGCTAGTGATGAAGAATCAGAGTTCAAATAATATTGTTTCAATAAACAAAGACCTTTTTAAGCGTTCCCCTTTGATGTCACTTCCTGTTTCACTTTGAGACAAGTTCAAAAGAAAATATAACAGTTATGAGACAAAATGTTTCTGAAATATAAAGATGTTTTTTATATTTGAAGCATATACACATTACAGACCTTTTAAAATTAAAAAAATAGATATTTTTGTGAAGTTTTTCATTTTTTTAAACTGATTTTCTGATTGTGATCAAATGTTTCTGTTAGAAACACTGAATAAAAAGTTGTTGGTTGAACAGAATAAGGCTTAATTTGAACACTAAATATATCTTTCTAATTTTTTTTAATGTATCTGTTAGGATTAGTTTCTCCAGAGGACATTTGTCTTGTCCATGTGGACTGCAGCAGGTTTCAGTCCAGTTCGAAGGTGTCCCTGGACCGACCTTCTTGGTCCTCTCAGTCTGTGTGGACTCTGGTGTTTCTGAACAAATATCCCTTCACCTGAAGTGGACAGTCCAATCACAGCTGTCCAACAAACCCATTTAATGCTGACAAAGACAAAACACCAGCTGCGGTCGATCCTGATCACTAACAGGAAGGAAACAGGCCTCGTCAAATTAAGACACTTTGAATTTGTTTATGCTTTTCAGTCTACAATAAACTGAAACTCTTTTTATTTAAACACTTTTAAATAAGTGATTAAATTAGATTTTTTAGTAGTTTGGTTTGTGAAAACTTTAATTCTTCAGTCATTAAACTTTAATTTTTTATCTTTTCGTTTAAATCTTTGTTAAACTAATTAAATGTTTTAGTTTTCATGTACTTTTCAGATGAAAACATTGTTCAAAGTAAAATGACTCACCTTTTTCTGCTGCAGACAGTTCCTGCCTCCATCACAGAGAAATAAACTAACCAGCTAACTCAAACTAACCAACCGACCTGTTAACTAACCAACAGTTAACTAACAACCAGCTAACCAACACTCAGCAGTCCAACGTCTCTGTTTGCTTCAGGTTTTCTTCTCTGCTGGAAGAAAAAATTCAAACCAGTTGCAGTTTTTTCCCCTCAGGTCAAGTTTAATTAACGCAGCCAGCTGCTTCCTGTCTGCCCTGTCAAAATAAAGGTCCCTGTCACAGTTTGTGCGACATTTTAGTTGCAGAAAAGAACTGAGAAGCTGTGTTCTCACGGCTCAAATGTTCCTGTTGTTCTGCGTCCTCCCGCTGAGCTTCTCTCAGGTAAACACCTGCCCACCTGTCCAGGTGGAAAACCTTCTGTGACCAAATAAATCTCAACAAAAAATATTTTTTTCCCTGTAAGTTAATAATCATTTAACGAAAAAAAAAAAACTTCAGATAACTTCAGGTGAGCGCTGGAAGGGGCTTTTATTTTGAAAAGTTCACCTTTGTTTCTGGTGTTGATGATGGGAAAGTTAGAACTTCAGTTTGATCACTTCCTGCTGTAAACACACACACACACACACACACACACACACACACACACACACACACACACACACACACACACACACACACACACACAGGAAGTCCACATCTGTTACTCATTAATGAGGGGCGCGTCACCATGGTAACAGACCAAACTCCAGTCAGATCCTCCAGTTGAAGAATCTGTTTGTTCTGTTGGAGCAGCTGGAAGAACTCGAGTGTTCTCTTCATGTTCCAGGTTCTGATCACAGAACAGGTGTGTTTATAAAATTTAATCTGTAAAATAGAACATTTGGTTTTTCTTTATTAATGTTTTTGCTTCCTTAAAACATCTTCATCAGCTGCAGGAGTCTTCATCACTCTGCTCTGTTTAGGATGAAGTCAATAAATTAATTGTGAACTGATCAGATTATGGCAGCAGATCAACCTGAAGATGTGTCCCTGTGAAGACATGTCCCTGTGAAGACATGTCCCTGTGAAGACGTGTCTCTGTGAAGAAGTGTCCCTGTGAAGACGTGTCCCTGTGAAGACGTGTCCCTGTGAAGACGTGTCCCTGTGAAGAAGTGTCTCTGTGAAGACGTGTCCTTGTGAAGACATGTCCCTGTGAAGACATGTCCCTGTGAAGACGTGTCCCTGTGAAGACATGTCCCTGTGAAGACATGTCCCTGTGAAGACGTGTCCCTGTGAAGACGTGTCCCTGTGAAGACATGTCCCTGTGAAGACGTGTCCCTGTGAAGACATGTCCCTGTGAAGACGTGTCCCTGTGAAGACATGTCCCTGTGAAGACATGTCCCTGTGAAGACGTGTCCCTGTGAAGA